CATAACCAATTCTTTACGATGTGACCAGCGGTACAGATAGTCCCCATTACAGCAGCCTGAGACAAGTGCGGTCTCTCAGTTTTTTTTTTCGTTAAAAGGTGTACAGCCGAATAGATTCACCGTCACAGAATTAGCTATCTGTTCACGCACAAATTTTACAGCATTTTACTTGCAGTGCGAGCGCACTATTGAGCTTCGAATTTACTCGACTGTAGTGATTTCAAGCTTAGTACTGCATTTCAGCTTAGAGAAATTAGTGAAGGTTGTCAGGGAGATTGCCTGTGGTATTTTTCTACTTGCTGTGTTTCGAAGTTGTAATGGCTTTGCACTGAAGATCCAAAATACGCAATCTTGCAAACTCGTCAATTTCCCGCCCGTTTGTTGAAAGTCTGTGTTGTCTGTGTTCGAAACTGCACCGCTAAGATTCTCTAGGGCAGTCTTAACTTTCCGAATCTCATTTTCTGATATTCGCCTATTTCTAGCGCATGGTAGACTCGTTCATTTTTATATAAGAACACATTTTTGTGGGAGAGGAAAAAGTAAGCCTGCTAAAGTAAGTTTTAATAAGCACCTTGCAACAGAATTCCTACACCAGAACACCCTTCTTCAAGAACTTTTCCTAGTCGATTTTCAAGGAAATACAAACGTTGAAAATTGAAAAGAAGCAAGGTTCACATACAATTTCCCGTTTTACCACCGTTAGGTGGTAAAACGGGAAATTGCCACCGTAGCGCCCGAACATTTGCTCAAAAGTCGTTCTACATAAAGTTCAAAGCAGAATGTAAGAGGATCCGAACAAAAATTCGAAAAAGTCGTAAATCTTCTAAGAAATTTCCACAAGCTTCCAACTTGCTCAGGCATGCACCCTCCACAGTGGGCATTTATTTGTACTTTTGCTAATTTTTGCGTGGCTATGGGGAAAAATTATGATGTTGCTAAAAAGCTGCGCTGGGCTGCTCTAACATGGGTAATTCTATAGAACCTTCGGAAGAATAACCATGAGTTTTTGGAATTTACAAGCAGGAGTTTGTGAGAAATACCAGATTTAGCGCAAAAAAAAAGAATTTGAGAATGAAAGGTAAAGGATCATAGAACATCCTAATAAGATGATAATGCTTTGTTAGGCACATTGTGGGCAAACAAGCATTTTCTCAATTTGGCGACTAGTTCCTACGTTCGCCAAATTACTCAGCTTTCTATTGCTGTGAGTTCCCTGAGTTAGTTTACAGCTTCCCATAATCCATATCAAATGTCGAAACCAAGATACGCCCACACAGGGCCCGGCGGGGGTGGCGCTTTCACAAGCTGGATATCGTTTTTGGCCCGAAAAAGCAAAGGCGAGGTCGTATTTTGGGGTCCGGGGCTCTGCCCCGGACCCCAAAATACGACTTCCCCTTTGTTTACCGATAAACAGTGCACATATCATTCTTTATTCATCATTCCTTGTTGATGCTGCTGTCCTATGAACTTAGATTCCAGCAATGTGAAGATTCTGTGCTCCGATCGCTAGCCTGCCCGCAGGCGGGAATTTAAATCGCAGTTCTTGTAAGAGGAAAATAACAAAATAGGCTCGTTTTCAATGCACAAGTAACGATATGGCACCGAATTTGCTGGGTAGTTGGAGGACCATGAGCACAAAAAAAGTATGAAGAATTATGAGAAACTTATGTGAATTTAAAAAATGGTAAGTGTTTTTCGAAATTAGGTGGCTCCCGCGCCACCTGGGAGCCACCTGGGGTGGCTCCCTGCTTCCCTTCACATATTTTCCCGGATTTCTTCACATAAATGTGGACTAGGTCTAGAGTATTACTATATGCTCAAATCCGCTTCCAAAACCACCAAGGCACCGCTTCGATACAGCCCCAAATAGGGTTCACAGCGTTATGATCGCCTCGGAAAGCGCGCTCCATTCGCAATCGGTTATTGTAAATTGTAAAGTTTCGCAGCTGGCTAATAAATGAGTAGTATCTTAGATATATAAACGTCAAAGTTTGTGCAAATCTTGACCCTATGTTTTTTTATAGATTCCTTTGCGGATGAACCCATTGAGCTGAAATGTTGATGACCCAGGCTGGACCAGGAAAGCTAGGTAGTACTACTATAATAAGCACTGAGGCCTCCCATCTTATTATTTGTGTATATCTGTTTGTAGGGACTTACGGGGGTCAAAAATAGGGTCAAAGGGGAAGTCGTAAGAAATTTTGGCTTCAAAGGGGATATCGTTTTCAAAATTCTGAAATGCCACCTCTTGCCGGGCCCTGCGCCCACACAATACGCGTGTTTCTGCAGTGCCATGGTTTCACGCACAGTACCAACCTCTGGAACTCAAAAATAACCTTCTTTCGTCCAGCTATTGAGAAGTTGTAGCACTTCGAAGGTAACGGAGTTATGCAACACTTTGAATCTGACTAGCACTTCTTCCTTCAGAAGGAAAGTGCAGGACACCTTTTCCTCTCAATGATCTTACGGAATCGGACCTAGTGAACGATACCTAACGAGACTAGTTTTTTGCAATGTGAACGAGTTTAATTCGTACGAAATCACCACTGTGGTATATAGATGGGTTTCAACACACGCAGTTGTAACTCGAAGGATTACACCTACGCACACACAAAAAGATTCGTCCTATCAATTTAAATTCAAGTATTTTCGCAGATCTCATGAGGTGAATCTTTGAAAACGTTATCCCACGGCTTCGCGAACTTCGGATCCTGCACTTTCTTACACATTTCTTTGTCACTGTATTTCATATAAATTTATTCATAATATTTATGATAGGCCTGAGCCTGTCTACAGAATTAGAAGAGAAGAATCTGAATAATGGGACAGCTCTGCTCAAAAGTTTAGCTAGCGGCGTGACAATACAAAGTTAATTATATACGTTATATACGTTACAATTGCTTTATGCTTGATAGAAAATTTGGTCGCCGCAGCATGCTGTAACGCATAATCATAAGGAATAATCGAATTTATATTATGGAATATAACTACATTTTCGAACGATGCGCCCATATTTTTCATCTGCGGACTTGGCGTTTTCCTCATCACTGACTTTCGTGAATATGTTTTTCTACATAACAGTGCAAGCCTGCAATTGAATGTTTCGTTGAAGCAAAATCATTGTAGTGACCTATTGCACATCCAGGATTCTCGAAAGAAACAAAAATTAACCTAATCATTCCTAAATTTGCCCTGCGTAAAAGTTTCGCATAGACTCATACAAAAGACTTCAGGTGCTGATAATTCATTTATTTGTACAATGTATTACAATATAAACACATAGAGAAAAAACACATCTACAATACCACCCGTAATTTGTGAAAAAAATTGGAGGCGGCACCTAACTCACGCGGCGCCGCCGCAATTAGGCGGCAAGCGCCGCGTCGCGCGACAAAGTTAGACAGAAAAGCGGCACTTGCCGCCTAACTTTGTCGCGCGACGCCTAACTTTTTTAGAAAAAAGACCTTATCTTGATTTAAAATTTATGAATTTTATATTTAATAGTACCATTCAACTCAGCTCGGCGAGGCGCATTTTTCAGTATACAGATGTGCCAAGTTGTGGGATATAAGTTTTTTTCCTGGAATTTTAGTGTAAATGGATCATTTAGTGTGCTGATTCCAGAGGCTACATACACATTCTGTTGAGCACTGCAGAAATAAGGCAGGTATAGTTTATGAGCTCATTCTGCATGGATATGTGTGAAACTGGGCTTTTCTCGGCGCGAAGTATGACGGGTCCCAAAATGCAGGAAGACAAAGGGAAATGGTTGGAAATCGCATGAGAAGCACATATCGCGGAATGCCGCGCGTGCTGTGCAATGTACAATACCGCCCACAGAACGGGAATTTCGCGAAATTCCAGAAATTTTGCGATTCCGGAATGTCGCAAATTATGCAGCGCCATAACTTCCTTCGAAATGAATATATTCTAAATCCGAAAGCAGCATTGTGTTCAGCTCGTCAAGGCGAATCTTTCGACATACTCATGTCATCTATGTCTTGTTTTCAGTTTTCTCAAATTTTTCTGAGGAGGTCCCAAGTATGTAACGCAGCGCCTATCCAACATGAAAGCTTCCAGTAAGCACCATTCGATAGTGCTCTTGTTGTACATTATAGTGCGCTAGAAAGCTGCCGCAGACTTCTTTTAAAAAGAGAAAAAAGCGTTGGTAAATTCTGGAAAAATCACTCTTTTCCAGATTCTACTCGCCGTAACTTTCTTTAGAGTGGATATTTTCTGGGTCCGAAAAGTGCATTGTGCTCAGCTCATCAAGGCAAAACTTTCGGTATGCAGAATGTCCTTGATATCTCGATTTTAGTATTCTAAAACTTTCTGCGGACGTCTCTTCGCAAAGGTGTGAAGCAGCGCGTATTGCCCCCAGTAGATTCAGAAAGAAATTTTCGATAGTACTCCTTCTGTAGATTATGAGGCGCTAGAAATTAGCCGCACACTTCTTTCCAAAGGACTTAGAGGGGCAGGTGAATTCTGGAAAAATTGTGTTGTACATTGCACAGCACGCGCGGCATTCCGCGATATGTGCTTCTCATGCGATTTCCAACCATTTCCTTTTGTCTTCCTGCATTTTGGGACCCGTCATACTTCGCCGAGAAAAGCCCAGTTTCACACATATCCATGCAGAGTGAGCTCATAAACTATACCTGCCTTATTTCTGCAGTGCACAACAGAATGTGTATGTAGCCTCTGGAATCAGCACACTAAATGATCCATTTACACTAAAATTCCAGGAAAGAATCTTATATCCCACAACTTGGCACATCTGTATACTGAAAGATGCGCCTCGCCGAGCTGAGTTGAATGGTACTATTAAATATAAAATTCATAAATTTCAAATTAAGATAAGGTCTTTTTTTCTAAAAAAGTTAGGCGTCGCGCGATAAAGTTAGGCGGCAAGTGCCGCTTTTCCGTCTAACTTTGTCGCGCGACGCGGATGAATTATTGTTGTTCACCTCTCCATTTTCCTTCACAGATGGTGCTGACTGCTAGATCTCGATGATCCTTGAGGTGAGTGACCTTTTCGTTATTTTTGGTGCTTTAACGACAAGGTGGCCATCTTCGGTGAGAGTGGATTTTAACTGTTCAATATCTTTGGGGAGCCTCCATTGTCGAACAAACGTTCTAAAATAGAATTATTTTGATTATGTTTTCTAGGAAACAAATCAAAAATGTTACATACCTCATGGTGTATCCATTCCTTTCCTTGATCTCCTGCTTGCCTTCGATCTTGAGTGTTCTTCCATCCAGATTTACTGACAATTCTTCTGGCTTGAACTGCTTCACATTAAAGGAAATCGATAGCTTGGTATCGTCATTCACTACCTAAAAACGCCCTTTTAAGGTGCAGAATAGATTGTGTTTAATGCATCCTACCTTATCAATCTTACCGGGACAGCCTTCCTTTTCGAGCAATGCTGCTTGATGGCCTCAACGCTTGCTCCATGATGTCAAAATCGTCAAAGAAGCTGTCGAGGAACTTTCGCTTCCTTCGGATGCCGAATGGGTCCAACGATAGCGATGGAAGTAGGCAAAGTGACATAGTGTTAAATTCAAGATCGTTACTGCTGCTTGCCTCAGCTCCCGACCGCTTTTATGCAAGCGTCGCGATATTTTCGCGGCTATTCGCGAACATTCGCGAAGAGAGCGCCTTCGCTCGCTCTTTTGGAGAAGCAAGCAGATGGCGGCCCCGCTCCCTTCGCCAATGTTCCGCGCTATTCGGACGATATCGTCCAGCATCCGACACAAAAGGCTCCACAGTTGGAGCAAATAAGCTTAGTATGTACCAATGACTTTTGAAACGAATTTTTGAAATACACACAAAGCGTGAAAACTTACACTTACACTCACTCACTTACATTTGTAGGCCGACGAGTTAGGAGGCACCATATCAACCCATTCGAGGCAGGAATTTTTTCAATATGCAGGCATATTCTTTATGAATGCAGAACACTTTTGACGGGAAAAGCAACAGATACGTAAAATGGCTTCTGATTGCTTCGAAAAATATTCCTATTTTACCGTTGTAATTCACACTTTTTTGATTGGACCTGTGCTGTGTTACGGCAATGTTATCGCTGATGATAAGTTCACGGTCGAAGAAAGAACCTTCTCTGTTGGAATTATGAAGACCTTTTGAGATAACGAGCTTGATGTCGCGCAAGAAGAAAACTTCTATCGAAGTTGTTCTTGTGTTTGGAGGGCTCCTGAAGAACTTAAGATACGCACGGTAAGATGATGAGCAAAGGGATTGCTTTGATTCCGAGGTTCGCTGAACACTGACTTGTTCTGTTATGGGTTGCCGGAATCACATCCCATAATCCTTGAACACATTCATGACAACACGACCCACCGGTGGGTCGTAAGGTTCCTGAAGTACCTTTGGCAGCTCAACACAAATTAGATGGTGTTCTGGCACATGATTGGGGACACTAGGCAATGCTTCAATCGTGGGCCCGCTCGGGATCTTGTAATGTAATGTTGCGGTTGATATACCGTGGATAAGTAGGCACAGGCTTTAACTTAAACTCTTCGGAGGAGGACGTGCTGTTTCTTTAAACTCAGTTGTGCATGCGAAGGAAATACAAACAGAGGCTTATGCTAGCAGATCGAAACATTAGCATTTCCATTGATTTTATTGATTTTTTGCAATATTCATCCCAGAAAGCTAAAATCTTACGTATACAAGTTTTGTAGCATACTGATTAGGAAAATGATAGCCTCGGTCTACTACACCCTATTACAACAGTTTCTTGATTCTTACGGAACCTGCCGTACTACAACAGTAGCTTCAAAGAAGTGAACAGTATGAGGGCTATAATCGCAATCAGCATGAGAAATAACGCCAACACAATTTTCCGGTAAAATTAATGTCGGATTCATGCAGGACTACCATAACTTTACCAAAAAGTGCCAGATGAAATAAGTCTTATTTCGATAATAAGCGCCTTCAATAACCCTTCTGAGGAAATTCTTGAAGAAATGTTTCGAATTTTTTTTCTAAAAAAACAATTTCAAGAACAGTACTCACAGGTCGGTCGAAATGGCTGTAATCCGAAAACTGGCCTTGTCGTGATGGCCCTAACTAAAATGGAATCTAAACAGTCTTTCGCTGAACCTGTTGCACAATATTTCAAACGTTGTTTTTCAGTCAATACTACAAAATCTTTGCGAAAACGAGCAAATTCTTGGGTAGACTTTGAAACGCTCTATGAAGCATTCGGATATGACAGTTTTCCTCCAATCATCCTTCGTTATCTACTGGTTGAATTCTAAAAGCAGACTCTTTGGTGTCTATGTTTCACTCTCGATCTGTTTAGCAGTGAGAAATTATTGGGTCGCTTCGAGTCTCACCTTTTTCTAAGCATGTAAAATAACGACTTAGGACACTGAAACGCAGATACAGCTTGTCTCCTGTCAACGTCCAAATTACAAAAATTCGGTATATATGATTTTCGCCTCTTTCAATCTCAGATACTTCTGATTTTTCGCATCGATTTTTGAAGAGCCAAAACCAGGCAGCTCGTATTCAAATAATATCAGGTGAATTTGTACCATAAAGCTCCGGCATGATAAATCTTTATGATTTTAGGACAAAAAATCATTTAACTCAAGAAACAGTACTATATTTTGGGGGGCTTACTTGGAATGTAGACTGTGCCTTCAGCAAATCTTGTGATTTTTTCAATTGTCGTTCACAAAAAAAACTAAGGAAGCCAAATAAAGGGACAAAAAAGATGACTTCGTAGCGAGTGCCTCCCTGGAAAATGTGACACATTGACACAAAACGGGTGAATCTACATGTTCCATTACATTCAGATAGGAGACCCCGCATAGCCCATGGTTATAGTCAAACAACTGTTTGCGAGATTATTACAGTTTATTGGCAATTTTTCATGAACATACATTGCCAAATAACTGATTTATAAACGCCCAAACAATCCAAAATCGAAATTCAAAGAGTTATTCACATGGACAGAGTGTACTTGCTTTTGAGTCCAAAACATTAAGACCTTGTCTATGCGCTTTCCGAAATAGGCGGCACTTCAATTTTCGGAGTTTCTACAGCAAGATAGCCATCTTCAGTAATGGTACATTTCAGCTGATCTGCATTGACGTCATCAGGAAGGGTCCATTGCCGGACAAAGCTTCTAAAAATGAGCTATGAAGAAGTGAATGAATTAGTCTGAAAAAACGACGATTTCGCCATAAACACACCTCATGAAAGATCCATTGCTTTCCTCATTCTCTTGCTTGCCTTCAATGGTGAGCACACGTCCATCTACATCCACCGATAACTCTTCTGGAGTAAATTGAGCAACATTCATCGATATGGCTAGCCTACGCCCGTCATCCTTCACCCACAAAGCATTTCTAACTTATCAACCTTGAGTGTCAAAAACTCACCTCAACTAGATCCCCGACAGAGTCGAAATTTAAACGCGAAACAGCTTCTCGTAATGGCCCGAGAGCTTGCTCCACATCGCCCCTAAATTTTTGTCCACGATCGGGGACGTGAGCTTCTGGAAGAAAGCAGCGCGACATAACGGTGGTGTAACATAGAACTAAAGATGATGTCCTCGTTCTTATGTGTCTCTATATAGCGACCTCCTGCTCTCTTCGCCCAACGTTCGCGAATGTTCGCGAGATACACGCCGCGACCTCACGTGAAAGCGTAAACAGGAGCGTAGCAGGGTTTTTCGCGAATGTTCTGTCAATGCCCGGCGCATGCACTAGTGATTGTGTCAGGGCAGAAGACAGCAGCTTAACAGAGTGCGAGGAAGGGTTTTGTGAGCATCCAGTATAGGCAAGATTCGAGCGGTCGAAACTTTTGGGAAAACTACCTTGATTAGGTGAAAAAAGGGCAAGAACGAGGTCAGGGAAAAGAATGCTGCGCATGAGGTATGATAGAAGAGTAATTTTTGAAAGATCAAAGCTACAGTTTCCTTTCAAAGTTTCAGAAATGGGTCCCTGCTAAGTTGACGTGAGTCAGCAAATCTACTTTTTGACTGAAGATGGCCGTGCCATCCTGCAAATGAGAAATAGGGGCGAATCATCTACTTTAAAGACCACCAAGGTTTACAATGTTTCCGTAGCTGAGAAGAAAATAAAATGGAAAAATCACGCTGATTTCTTTGATTGACATATTGCTATCTGCAGTTCGATCTCAAATGTCAATTTATCTATGCTAACGTAGCCATGTTATTATAATTCAATTTTGATTCAAGCTTACTTTGGATATATAAATAACTTGCACTTTTTTCAGGATTAATGTCTTACCGAGCGAACATCAAACAGCGAACAACAACTGAAGAGTTCCTGTAATCTTAGATGGATTTTGTGTTCACTAATTTCATCACTCAGGCCGGTATTTATCATTTCCGCAGTGACCGAATCTGTTTTACCGTTACAAAGGAGCGTCCATTATCCAATCTGAGCCTTGTAGGGTAGCGCTCTAAACAGACATCGGGAGACTGCTAAATGCCGTTCTAGAGTGCGATAAGTGGGGTATGGGTACTATAAGAAAGGCGTAAAAATTACACTCTTGATTCAGAAAGTCTGAATTTTAGTGTGTGAAGAGGGTGACCGAATCCTCGATTCAATGTTCGACTTCTCCCCTCCCTCCTCAGTGTCTTTTCAGTATGTGCAAAATTTGTGCACAAAAAGTGGAGGCTACTTTGCACTACAACTTATCGTTAAGTGCACGTCGTTACTTCTTTTTTTTTTCAGATAAGGGCTTACGGATATATAGGTACAACAAGATACAATACCGCTCACATAATGTGCAAAATTTCCGTAAATATCGCGAAATTCCGAAAATTCCGCGAAATTTCCGGAATTCCGCGAAATTCCGGGAACGTCGCGAAGTTTCGCGAAATTCCAGGAATTTCGCGGAATTTTCGGAATTTCACGATATTCAAGGAAATTCTGCATATTTTGTGAGCGGTATTGTAGAATGCAAGAAGATGCCCAACGACTGTTACAATAGCGCAACGATACCAGTGTGGAAGAACAAGGGGGATATAACAGACTGCTCTACATACAATACCGCTCATAATTCGTCAAAAAAGTCGCCGGACTGCGGCGGAGTGCGCTAGAGTGCGTCGGAGTGTGGTGAAGTGTGGCGCAATGCGCCGGAGTGCGGCGGAGTGTGGTGAAGTGTGGCGCAGTGCGCCGGAGTGCGGCGGAGTGTGGTGAAGTGTGCCGCACTCCGCCACACTCCGCCGCACTCCGGCGACTTTTTTGACGAATTATGATCGGTATTGTATATGAAGTGAGTGGAAGGAAATATACATATATTAGGTGTATAATAACATCAAAAAGTGGGCGGGGCTTACAGTTCACAGCTAAACAGCGATAAAATCGATATTTTGAGCTTAAAGAACTATCAAATCTCAAAAATCGATAAAATCGACATTCTGGAGGTTGCAAAATCCCGAAAATTGGCGAAAATCGATATTCTGGAGGTTGCGAAATCCCGAAAATTGGCGAAAATCGATAAAATCGACATTTTGAAGGTTGCGAAATCCCGAAAATTGACAAAAATCGATATCCCAAAAATCGGCAAAATTGATAAAATCGATATTTTGAAGGTTGCAAAACCCCAAAAATCGACACAAATCGATAAATTCGATATTCTGGAGGTTTCGAAATTTCGGAAATCGGTAAAATTATTGAAAAACTAAGCGAAAAATTCGAGAAACTCCATAATAAGCTCATTTCCAGTGCTTTTATACAGCTGAAACTTTTCCAAGCAAGCTCCGCCCACTTTATACCCCACGTTACGATCGAAATTGAAGAAAATAAGAAAAATTAAGAAAAAATAAGCGAAAATCGCGTTTTTCTAGCCCGATTTACCTCCCTTTTAGCCGTTTTCAGCCCCTAACCAGGTCCAGATGGCCACGGGAAAACTGTACACGAAGCGGTAATAAAGAGAGGGGGAAAAATAAGGGGGGGGGGAGAGAGAAAGGGGGGAGAAAGAGGAATAATCGCGTGTCTAATTTTTTTTTCAAGTCCGGGAAGGTTCATAGATAGGCTCCCAAAGGCGGAGCCCCTACATTTTCTCCGAATTTTATGTGGTGTCCCCCTCGAATACAAACTGAAGAATGGCTATCCCAGCTCGTCATCCCTACTCTCCGCGGAGATAAAATTCAAAATATGCACTATCGCCTTTATATAGCGCCTCTTACGCTGGAGCTGTGAGCACGAGCTACCCCTGGAAAAATAGAGCTACCAAAACTACATGTCAATGGCCACATGAGGTTACCCCAGCCCTGCAACTCTTAGAGATATAAGGCGCCGAAATCGCCCTTATTGACAGATTTCCCAAGTTTGGCTGTCAATTAGGCACTTTTAATGAAAATTTGTTATTCTACGACCTTCTCTCTAAAAATCGTATTTTTAGAGATCTGTCGAATTAAACAAACCCCAGCCCCGTAGCTGTAATATTCGCAGAGTTATTAGCCCCCCAACATGCATGCTCAGGCCGTAAAATCGGCTCTCCCAAAGTTGCTCCGTAATTCCCCCAAAAATCATGTTAGACACCTCTCTTATACCTATACACACCATATTTTTTCCAGCTTCTTAGAAGCAATACACACTGATATAGCGCGCTCTTGGCCTCTCGCTCCTCACTCTTGGCCTCGGCGTAAGATTTGGTTGAAATATTGAAGTTCTCGGATTGACTGTAAACTTCACTCACAGTGGTTTTTGGTCCCGATCTTTACGAAAATCCTATTTATTTTGCACTAGAGAGTCTTACAGTAAAGCTAAAGTGAGATAGAAGTAGCTGGACCAACCAAGATCGCAACTTCGCCTGCACTTCTCGCCTACCTGTTGCGGAAATTGTCTGCAAATTTTCGTGAGTTGAAAGCTTTGTGAACACCTCTATCGGACCATGCTTAGCACAGATCTTTATTTGAATTGTTCGTCAGATTATGATGTTACAAAATCGCCTTCTCTTGAATTGTCTTTCAAATTCGAAAGTCGTGTTGGCAGATATTCTATCATACAATGTGTTACTAGCAGCAAAACAATGTAAGAAATGCTGTTAGCACGTCGAGTACAATACCGCTGACAAAATGTGCAAAATTTCTGTAAATGTCGCGGAATTCCGAAAATTCCGCGGAATTCCGAAAATTCCGCGGAATTCCGAAAATTCCGCGAACTTTCCGGAATTTCGCGAAGTTTCGCGAAATTTCAGGAATACCGCGGAATTTTCGGAATTTTGCGATGTTCACGGAAATTTTGCACATTTTGTGAGCGGTATTGTATGGTATTGTCATAACTGTGGAAAAGCTTATAGATCACTTCAGCATGAAGGTTTGAATGAAAACATTCATAAGCCGTTTCTAATGTTCATCTGCTAGCAGCAGATGAGAAAATTACGGATTTATCAGTTTATCAGCCAGATACAATACCGCTCACATAATGTGCAAAATTTCCGTAAATATCGCGAAATTCCGAAAATTCCGCGAAATTTCCGGAATTCCGCGAAATTCCGGGAACGTCGCGAAGTTTCGCGAAATTCCAGGAATTTCGCGGAATTTTCGGAATTCCACGATATTCACGGAAATTCTGCATATTTTGTGAGCGGTATTGTAGAATGCAAGAAGATGCCCAACGATTGTTACAAGAGCGCAACGATACCAGTGTGGAAGAACAAGGGGGATATAACAGACTGCTCTACATACAATACCGCTCATAATTCATCAAAAAAGTCGCCGGACTGCGGCGGAGTGCGCTAGAGTGCGTCGGAGTGTGGTGAAGTGTGGCGCAATGCGCCGGAGTGCGGCGGAGTGTGGTGAAGTGTGGCGCAGTGCGCCGGAGTGCGGCGGAGTGTGGTGAAGTGTGCCGCACTCCGCCACACTCCGCCGCACTCCGGCGACTTTTTTGACGAATTATGATCGGTATTGTATATGAAGTGAGTGGAAGGAAATATACATATATTAGGTGTATAATAACATCAAAAAGTGGGCGGGGCTTACAGTTCACAGCTAAACAGCGATAAAATCGATATTTTGAGCTTAAAGAACTATCAAATCTCAAAAATCGATAAAATCGACATTCTGGAGGTTGCAAAATCCCGAAAATTGGCGAAAATCGATATTCTGGAGGTTGCGAAATCCCGAAAATTGGCGAAAATCGATAAAATCGACATTTTGAAGGTTGCGAAATCCCGAAAATTGACAAAAATCGATATCCCAAAAATCGGCAAAATTGATAAAATCGATATTTTGAAGGTTGCAAAACCCCAAAAATCGACACAAATCGATAAATTCGATATTCTGGAGGTTTCGAAATTTCGGAAATCGGTAAAATTATTGAAAAACTAAGCGAAAAATTCGAGAAACTCCATAATAAGCTCATTTCCAGTGCTTTTATACAGCTGAAACTTTTCCAAGCAAGCTCCGCCAGTGAGATAGAAGTAGCTGGACCAACCAAGATCGCAACTTCGCCTGCACTTCTCGCCTACCTGTTGCGGAAATTGTCTGCAAATTTTCGTGAGTTGAAAACTTTGTGAACACCTCTATCGGACCATGCTTAGCACAGATCTTTATTTGAATTGTTCGTCAGATTATGATGTTACAAAATCGCCTTCTCTTGAATTGTCTTTCAAATTCGAAAGTCGTGTTGGCAGATATTCTATCATACAATGTGTTACTAGCAGCAAAACAATGTAAGAAATGCTGTTAGCACGTCGAGTACAATACCGCTGACAGAATGTGCAAAATTTCTGTAAATGTCGCGGAATTCCGAAAATTCCGCGGAATTCCGAAAATTCCGCGAACTTTCCGGAATTTCGCGAAGTTTCGCGAAATTGCAGGAATATCGCGGAATTTTCGGAATTTTGCGATGTTCACGGAAATTTTGCACATTTTGTGAGCGGTATTGTATGGCGCTTTCAGTCGCAAAGGGTTCTTGTTTGTAAACTCTCTATCAAACCCTGAAAATCCAAAATTGTGGCACTTTGAATCAAATATTACAGCGCATCAGAAGACTTCAGAGTATCGAGGTCATTGATTCAAAATTCGCATATATTCGAACAGGTGTTCCATGACTCCCTCCTCAATTCATTTGCAGAACTCAAACGGTTCCGTGTATGAGAGTCTTCGCTAGTGAGAGCGAGACATGAGCTTTCACCATTGGCCCCCTCTTACTACCGTAGTGGAGCGAGACCGCTTGTTCCATTACGGTATTAGTAGGCCAATGGTGGGAGCCCTATGTTAGACAGCCTAAGGCATTGATTCGATTTTCCACTCTGACAAAATTGATACCTACTTTCAGAGAATCCTTACCACAACTGACGCTTTTCGTTGACATTTTGTATATGTGAAGGCGTAGAGCTATGTATGCAGCATGGGGTTTATACAAAAATTTTCCAACTATTATTCAAAGGGGTCAGAGACGATTTCTTGCAACAAAGAGAACGCATATACTCATGAGTCAGTTATAAAATACAAGACTGATAACTTTTGCTACAAAAGGTAAGAATATCAAAGATTACAACAATTTACCCTACGTACATATCTACCGTATTCCTCTCTACCTTCTTATATCGTACCCCTCAAGAGCATTGCTTGGGTAATCAATCACCGGCTTCCTATGCAAGCAATACTTGAGGATTCCTGACTTAGTAGGTTATCTCTCGAACTCACTCTTACGACTCGCAAGTGGTCAAGATATTCAACACTTCTCACCAAAACCGTGTAAAATCTGATTGGACCAAACTTGTAAATTTTGCACTCTACGATTTACTCAAAGTATATGCGCTTCTCTCTGCTGCAAGAAATCGTCTCTGATCCTTTGGATAATAGTTGGAGAATTTTTGTATAAATACCATGTTGCCTGCATAGCTTTACGCATTCACTTATGCAAGATGCTGACGGAAAGCTTCAGTTGTGGCAGTTTCCACATGAACAGTTCTAGTTCCTATTTGCTTACCTTGCCTATATTTGAGGCAGAATCGCAAACAATCAAATAGGTTGACGGACATGATTTTTAAACGTTTGAACCCAGGTATTTGTCAAAAATGCCGAACAAAACAACGTTAGCTGTAACTGAAATCTCTCTTAGGAGAAGCGCATGAACATAATGCTGCGAGAATGAGTCAATCTTTTCTGCAAGGACTTTCTATCCCTTCGCCCATGTACTTCACTCTCCTTAGATTAGTCCCAAAAAGCAGAATTTCGGTCGTGAAGTTCTAAAAACGAAATGCTCAAACTTAAAGGCAGCGTTTAGGCAAATTTGGACGCCAGGAAATCGCAAGTGGAAACTGATTTTTTTAGCCGAAGATAACGCCAACGAGCAGCGCAGATGGTGCACTTTTGGCTGAGATGATCGTCCCTAAAGCAGACCCCATATTTGGCAAACGACTTGCGTCGAGTTCCAGCTATTGCGGAGGACTAGCCGCTCTTGTAATGGTCTCGCGCAAAGCGGTACTGGGTCAAAATTCTACCAATATTACCTCTTCAAAAAATAACTTACGGGTCCTTCAAAGGTTTGAAAAATAGCGAAATCATGTGCCTAGGTAAAATGCGGAACTTTTTTTGATGTCTTTTAGAAAATAAGTTTCTAACAATAGCAATCGCAACCTTTGATCTACGCCACATGGGATCAATTGCAAAATCTGTAGTGCGACATGTTACGCTACTGACTAGGTGCCAGCAGTACATGACTACATGAATAGATGCTAAATTTATACACTAAACGCTGTTCGAGCGTTCTAGGGCAGCGGGATCTAGGTGTATGGTAGATGAATGTACGTACATACATGACTGCAAACCGGAGCCTAGCATGGCTAAACACTATGAAAATAAAGCTGGTTGCAGCAAGTAGATGTGAGGACGTTCATTGATCACCAGTTCTACCTAAAACCTCTCAAATCAAAAAAAAAACTCAAAGCGGTCGGAGGTCTTCATTATATGTGATATCATCGTAAGCTTAAGTGCATCTTCGTAATTTTTTGAATCTTTCACGCAAAAAGATTTTCACAGCTTATTGGAAATGGCTATTTTAGCGACACTAAGTTTTCCAAGCTTTTCTCTTCGCTTTTCATTCTAGTCGCCGTCGATTACGAGTACGGAACTCACGCTTTTGACAACTGTATGCAGAACAGATTTGACAATACATTTTATTTACAGTCTAGTACACTAACAGCTCGAAAATACGTACAATGAAACGAAAAAGGTTGAGGAAGGGAGATAATAGTATAGGCGAGCACCTGAGACGATAACAGAAATGGCTGGGTGTAATCCGTATCCGAAAAGGAATGCGAATAAGTATGCATATTAGAAAAGACCACGTAAAATTAGAAAAAGCCTCCATTACATATTTGAAGGACACAGTTATACTACTGCACTAATCGGCTGAAGTAGTTTGAGTAATTGTTGTTGGATGATTAGATTGACTATTGCAGAACTTGATTCGGACAACAAAGTCTAGATTTTCGATGAAGCAGCCATAATCGGAATGTTCCTTCTATTAGGTCTCTCCGGATCTGCCTTGGGAACTTCAATGCAGAGGTGTCCTTTATCGCTGAGCTGCGTACGCACAGATTCCAAATCTACGTTTTGTCCATTTGCGTATGAACGACCTATAATGAGGAATATGGATTTGAAGAAAAAGAAGAGAATGAATGTTTTCTCACCTGTGGATGTAGCTGTTTTCACCCTTGTGTTCTTGTTTTCCTTCAACTGTCAGTTCCCTGCCATCGAGGTGCACCTTCAAGTCTTCAGGGCGAAATTGTAAGACATCGAGTGAAACAGCGAATTTTTTGTCCTCGTCGATTACCTGAACAGGGCAAGTCAACATCTAAACACCATAGTAACCTAGAAGGTGAAACCTACCTTTTGAGTGTCATTGCCAACATGCAGCATGGAATGGTCAGCATTCCTCCAATAAGGGAAGATGCTGCGATTCATCTTGTGGAAGCAATCGTCCATGAGATAATCCACCATGAGAGGAACTTGCCAGAGCGAGAGCGACATAGCGGATTCACGTACGGTATGAGCTGCTGCTTGGGTGATCAGCTACTCTTATATTAGGTTCGCTGACCCGGCCGCGAATATTCGCGAATGTTCCGCAGAGGGCACCCCGCGACGCTTTTGTAAACAACGGCATGCCCGCCCCTTCGCGAATGTTCTTCTCGAACAGGTCATCGTTTTGATGAGTCACAGAAAGTGCAGCATAACAAAGGTACCATAATTAAAATATAGGATAACTTTAGTCTTTCATATATACCGTCTTGATGTTTTTGTTCAAACTTCGGGGCCTGTAGAGCTGGCTAAAAACATTCAGAGTTCAGAAAGAACGCTTTGATCGCTCTTCATTACCCGTAGGATAGTTAAAAACTCCCAACATGTTGGCGTTGTGCGATTGACATAGATTTCGAAAAGTTTCCAAAATATTTGGAATGTTTTGTGAAACAGCTTTTGGATGTGCGTTTCTAAAGGGTTATTTTCAGGCTTATAAAGCTATATGGATGAAGTAATCAAATTTTTGGAAGTTCGGAAATACTTTCACTCTTATATCTGACATGATTTCTTTTACAAAGCTTTACGGTAAAGTGCAATCTCGTATATTAAATCAGTGGAAATTACTTGACAAGGAAAACTCGATAGTGCAGAACACTCTAAGAAAATTTATTACTTGAACCAAGGAAAATCAGAGATTGTTTTATATAAAAGTTGAGCTTTAGAATATGTCACTTAGAGGTCGACGAAAGGCATTAGAGAGGTATTATGATGACCAAATATTTCGAATTTCCTTGTACTTTACCATACTTTGCAAAAAACCTTCAAACAGCTTGCCCCAAGCTTTTGAACTACCTAGTCTCATAAGATCCACAAATCCTTTTCACTTTGCTTTGTTACTCGCAGAGTTTACTGGACTAAAAGAGCGTTAGGAAGTGGGCTAGAATAGGAATTCAATCAGCCGCTCTTTTGGTCAAAATCAGCCATCGTTACCCTCTACAGACAGAGCAGCTCAGCTGTTGGGTAGGTAGGCAAAATGTCCTTCATTACCACAGATAATCCAGGTATACTTCTATTAATCTGAGTACGCAAACCACTGTGCACTGCTCCTTACAAAACAAAACTCAGAACGTTAAGAAATTTCCAACGAAAGATCCCAAGGAGCAATGCCAGATTCCCAAGTAGTTCCTTGATCAAAACCCTGAGGAACAATCTTTGCTGTGAGCAACGCTAGTCAACATATGACAATACCACCAGTACTTCTTTCAAAAATTTCTAGATTTTCTGACGTCCTTTTGTCTACGAAGAAAGATTTGCAGAAATACCAGAAAATAAGCGCACATTTTTTCGACATTTCCTGTATGCGATAAAATATTCCATGATGTGTTTTGTCTTTCTTTAATGACTTAAAAAAAGCTTCTGAAAAATCATTACAATCATTATGTCTTGTGACGATTCAAATCAACATTTTCGCTTGCATAGTATGCCCGAGCATGATATCGCTGCATCAGCAGAACGTTCGCGAATAGAGGCGTGGCACGCGCTGTTTACGCTGAGAAGAGCGGTGCACCGCGAATTTTCGCGAAATCTCGAGAACCTTCTTCGAAGAGGTCGCGGCTCGCTATATAAAGACAGCTGCGACGAGTTATGCACCAGTTTAGTTGTTCTGTGCTCTCAACGCTATGGCTCTCTACTTCCTTGCATCACAACCACGATTCGCTTGTCGAGGCATTTTTGACAGTATTCTCGAAGACATCGACCGCATCGAGTCTGCAATAGTACCAATGCTGTCAGCTGTCTCGCAGCAACGAGAGGAATCTGCTGGAAAATCAGCGAAGGTAAGATTACAAGTTTCCAGTATTTTTGCACAATCAAAAAAAAGTCATTTTCAGGTTACTGATGACGATTCCAAGCTAGCCATTTCTTTGAATGTCGCAAACTTCAAACCAGAAGAGCTATCAGTCGATTTGGATGGAAGGATTCTCAAGGTACAAGGCAAACAGGAAATTAAGGAGGAAAACGGTTACTCTATGAGGTAGGTCAGGTTTGTAGACTTTTTGCATACTTGTGGCTTCGCCGAATCTTATACATTGAATTTTAGAACCTTCGTTCGACAGTGGATGCTTCCTGATGACGTTGACGTAGAACAACTCAAATCCTCTCTGACTGAAGATGGCCACCTTGCCCTGGAAGCACCGAAAATCACGAAGAAATCGTCAACCACAAGAAGCATTCGGATAGAAACGGCACCCGCTGCCGTAAAGGGAAACGAAAATCATTAGCAGAACCTCTGATCTTCTTTGTATACCTTGCCACCACTTTCGTTTTGTACTTATTTGCTTGACCATAATTACGCGTATGTACTTATTTAGTTATGTATATGTGTATGTTTCGAACATTCGATTTAATAAAGACTTAGTGTTCAGAGTCGTTAAGTACAGCAATATCAAACGAAGAACATTTCTCAAAACACAGCCATACATATTTTTTACTTGTGATCCTGTGGAGTATGAAACATCAGAAAGCCAGTAAGTATACAAACTTATTGCTTTGGGATTGTATGAGGTTCTGTAAGGAACTTCCGCAAGTGTGTTCAAAGTGAGTGTCATTTTGAACAGAACAAAAAGTCTAATTTGTTAAGCGACTATATGCTACAGAAAACGCTTAATCAGATGAACTGATAGTTGAAAAGGAGAACGTGTGGGAGAAGAGTAGAGCTGAAGAAATGCTTCTAAGCTTTGTTTGATGTCTTTACGATATGCTTCAAATACCGTTTTACGGCTTCCTCATCAAAGATTATGCCTGTTTAGAGTAAAGGTTAGTGCGCCGCAAAATTAAAGCTAAAGATCAGATTTTTCATATCTGCCTTTCCCCCTCACTGTTCCGCCTTTTTGGAGAAAATTCGGAAGTTCCTATTTTCACTTTTCATATTCTTAACAGCTATACTACGTAGCATGAAAATTCTGTGGAAGTTTTAGATATTCTAGAAGAGTCTGTAAAACTCATTAGCAATTTTTTCGTCGTTACAGAAAGCCTTTCCCGATTTCGCTATATTGCAAAACAAAAACTATAGAAACATCGGTAATTTCTGAAAGCATTCAGTACCTAGGGCCTATGGAAAAAGAATCATGATTTTGTATTTTCCATATGACAGCTCTAGCCCTGCAATAACTGAATACTCTCATAGATAGCTTCTAGCCTTTTGAATAAATCTTCAAACAAATATGCATCGGTATAGACCAACTTGCTCAGCTATAATTGCGAGTACAAGAGATCCACTTCAACCGCTTACATTTCTGGGACACATGTCATGCATTCGCAAACTGGTACAGAAGGAAGTCAACATCTTCTCTATGTTTCGACGAAGTCATATATGTAGATAAATGCAATCTCCCGGATTTGAGACTCGGACGCTATAGACTCGCAAACGTAACTCACTCATCCACTTCACGGTTTATGCCAAGTTCGGATGTCGAAGCACTTCGAGTTTCATAGAAAAAGTTATTGGCAATAGAATAAAAGCTCAAAGAACGAAAACTCGATTCGTGCATACTTTTCCATCGTTAATTCTTATTTTATCTGTATCTTTATGAACAAGATATAACCGCTGCTTTTTCCCATATTATTGTAAAAACATGCCTTTCAATGCTTTCTCGAAAGTCATAGCACGGGTATATAGTAATGCCTCACAAATTGTTGCGTTTAAATCAAGGCGATGATGTGTGGATGTTGATACTGAGCTGTCTGATGATTTTTATTACACTATCTTTATCCATTCTACAAATTCCAGGCTATACAGGATCTATCAACTGGCATGATCGATGCCGCAAATGCAAAACGATCATAGTGCAAGCTGTAAACACACTGAAATTTTCCTTCTATTTCTCTGATTGTTCCTTCAAGATTTGACCTTTTCTCTTCTATAATTTTTCTGAAATATCGTTTCGGCACACTGACCCATCTAGCTTTCAAAAAACTGGATGAGGAGATAAAAAGCGTATTGAAAACCAAAAGGTTTCAACATTCTTCTTCTTATTGTGCGGCGCGCTCAATGCAAAGCCAAAGAATAATATTTTGAATTTACTGAAGACATCTCCTTAGTTATAAAATTACAACCGCCAGGATGGCTCACATTGATATATTAGGTTGGAAAGAAAGTTCTCGGACATTTTTAAACCGAAATTGTTATATCTTGAAATCTAATGCATGTACATGCGCAAAAATTTGTAGCTGTACTTTCACTTGCCTGTAGCTGAAATTTAAGCAAGTGAAAGGAGCCTGGGATCAACGGGGGCGGAGTTTGCCACTTTTCATTTACCTCGTTTTTCTTGTTGTTTAAGCTCAAATTTGATCCGAACGTGCATCTAAGTATGTAAATATATTTATGCTATAAATTGGAGCATGTGGCGGTTTCATAACATTTATAGAAGTTGGAGATCTGGGTTAGGGCAAAAACCTATGCTTTAGGATTTTCGCTTAAATTTTCACTGAAAACATTGATAAGGCTTGCGCTTACCACAGTTTTTTACAGATTGCTTTCCTCTATCCAATGGTGTGCAGCATGCTCCAATTAGGGTTTACGTCGAAACAAAAACTTTGTCTATAGGCCATGTCCGAGAACTTTCTTTCCAACCTAATATCTAAGAAAAGGGTATGGAAAGATTACAGTATTTATGTTGAGTAACCTCCCGAGATTTTTCTGGGATGCTCTTCAGGTTTTCGATGTTTGTTCCTGCACTTCCAAAAAAAAGGCGTGTCGTAGAATTTTTTTCCAAGGCTACTGAACCGAAATTTTTGACAAAGTTATATGCACATGTAAATCCAGCAATTATAACTCGAGTAAGCTGTATTCAGGAATTTTTCCACAGTTCATTCAAATTGTTCGAGAAAATATTGTACATATTTCAAATTATTCCTACCTAGTAAATTAAGGTATTGGCATTTAGTCATAGCGCTTTCATACTTGTAAATTTTGCCAATCCAAATGCTACTAAATTGGGCAATGCACCCCAACTGTGACTATTCGCTTTTCTTACGAACATCTAATCAATGCTTCATTTACTCAATGCTTGCCTCGAGAGACGCCTATGAGGATCATAGAGAACTCCTTCAAACATTCTAATAGCAAAATTTACATGCAGCAGTGCCAAATCGTTCCCTCATTTCGTATATGAAGGTTTGGAAGTGCAAAAGCCTCTTTTTTTGAGACTAGCTGGTCATCTTGTAGAAGGTCTGCCTGTGCTAAAGATATTCTATAGGGAAGATTGTAGATATCTAAGCGCTTAAACCATCAGCAATTTTATTTGATGTCACTGCACTGACTTGTTGTCTTTCTCTCATAAAGTTTGAGGCTTTGTGACTTTCACTTCATGCCAGAAGAATTCAATCGAATAAAACGTTACAATGTAATTACAATACTAGAAAAACAAGAATCTATTTGCGATACCTCTATCGCAGAACGTTCTCGAGTCGGGGAGGAGCACGCTATTGTTTATGCCGTGAAGAGCGGCGCGAGCGAATATTCGCGAATCTTGCCAACCTAGCAGAAGAGGTTGCGACTCGCTATGTAAAGACATCTGCGGCGGAGTTCAGCGCCAGTCTAGTTGTTCTGTACTCTCAACGCTATGGCTCTCTACTTTTTTCTATCAAAACCAAGCTTCGTTCGTCGAGGTCTCTTCGACACTATTCTCGAAAACATCGACCGTATCGAGTCCGTAATAGCTCCAATGCTGACAGCTGTTTCGCATAAACAAGAGAATTCTGTTGAAATATTGGCGAACCTAAGCTCACAGATTTCTCCAGTATTTTTGCACAATCAAAGAAAGTCATTTTCAGGTTACTAATGACGATTCCAAGCTAGCTATCTCTTTGAATGTCGCAAATTTCGAACCAGAAGAGCTATGCGTCGATTTGGATGGAAGAATCCTCAACGTGCAATCCAAACAGGAAATCGAGGAGGAGAACGGCTACGCTTGAGGCAGGTCAAGTTTGTAAAGATTGTTTATATGTTTATGACTTCGCAGAATCTTATATTTCTAATTCTAGAATCTTTTCGACAATGGATGCTTTCTGATGACGTCGATGTTGAGCAACTCAAATCCTCTCTGACTGAAGATGGCCACCTTTCCCTGGAAGCTCCCAAAATCACGAAGAAATCGCCAACCACAAGAAGCATTCGGATAGAAAAGGCACCGCTGCCGTAAAGGGGAACGAAAATGATCAGCAATAATCTCTGATCTCACTGAAAAATCTTCTGTTTACATATCTTGTAATCACCATTCATATTTTTTGTTTGTACATGACTACGCATATGTATATATTTATAGTATTTGATTATTCTATGTATTTATTTTCCAATAACCCGTATTTAATTCTTTTTGTAAAGCATTCTTGCAGATACAACTACAGAGATTTTGTACTATTTTCCACTTAGGAATACCGAGTAGGCATTTAGTTAATGGACAGATTGCTGTATGAGGTTAGTGGAAAAATTGCTCCCATGCCTTTCTGCCTATGCAGAGCTCATGCTACCCTGTGAGAGGAAATTTTCTATTCAGAAAAGTAAAATAAAGGAAAACTTTCTCGTAATGCGGAGAATGTTCTCTTCATGCGGGTTTGGACAAGAAAATGTAGCAAAAAAGGAGAGGTGTAGAATGGAAGAGGGATACTCTTGGTTACCATTCTGGACATATGATGTTGGCAACAAATTTATGTGCCAAGTGGGCTATAGGCTTGGCTTCTACAGTGCTGGAGAAAATTTTAGGTCCACACTAAAAAGCGCCATAACTCACTCTGTTGTCAATAAAATATTCCAAAATTTGGTACAGCCGTGTGTTTACCAGACTATTATCATTTATCAAAATGGGTCTCGTTTTCGTTTGCTTATTCAAGAAAAAAATTAAAATTTTGAAAAAAGCAAGCCTGAAGGCTGGACAAAATTATAGGTCCACCTGGGTTTTTACCGATTAAAGCACTTCTTAGCTCCCGAATTTTTTTAGGTAGGTACACATCCAAAAGCGGTAAACAGCTGCTTTAGTCAAGCTGTGTCATACCTCCGAAAAGAACCGATTATCTGCTTTTTTGCCTTGAAAATGCTTTCACATGTTCGCTCCACAAACCCGCGTTGAGTAAGAAATTTTGCAGTTTCTCAGCTGGATCGGAAGGAACGGGGTTTTATCTACCTTCGGGATGCTTTTTGATGTGAGCATTGAAAAAAAAAATTCGACTTTTTGCTGCTGAAGCAAATTCGACATCGACTTAATCGGGAGAGTAAGCCTCAGTTTCTATCCTGAAACCCTTTATGTATTGTCATTATAACCTCAAGATATTGTAGGAGCATTCTTTACACAAGAATAAAGCTGTTCGCCGTACTCGCAAGTGTCCACAAAGCTGCCTGCTTCTTTTTCGAAACATGAGTTGTGAATGCAATGTAATGATGGTGTTACGCAGATACAAATAACTTGCCAAGTGCTACCTCACTTAGATTTTTGATAGTATTTATTTACTAGATAGTGGATACAGCTTGTAGTGTATGTTAGCACGTGATTGTTCTGAAAATTTTGGTCAGAGCCAGAAACAGCTTTGGTGCTTGTCGTAATCAGTTTCTGCTGGGTGATTTCAGTAATTATAATCGAATGCTAGGATCTCTAAAAAGTTGTAACCATGAAATACGAACTCCTTTTCGTAGAAACAATGCCTTCACTTTACTTTATGCTCCTGAGAACATCGTAAAAAAAGTTTGAAGGCAAAAATTTGTGCTCAGAATTGCAGTTTTCAATGTCGGATTTGCTTCAGCAGCAAAAAGTCGGATTTTTTCTTCAATGCTCACGTAAAAAAGCGTCCCGAAGGTATGACACAGCTTGACTAATGCAGCTGTTTAACGTTTTTGGATGTGTACCTACGTAAAAAAATTTGGGAGCTAAGAAGTGCTTTAATCAGTAAATACTCCAGGTGGACCTATAATTTTGTCCAGCCTTCAGGCCTGCTTTTTTCAAAATTTTCAATTTTTTCTTGAATAACCAAACGAAAACGAGGCTCATTTTGACGACTGATAGTAGGCTGGTAAACACACGGCTGTACCAAATTTTGGAATATATTATTGACAACAGAGTGAGTTATGGCACTTTTTAGAGTGGACCTATAATTTTGTCCAGCACTGTATGGGCTCCACGCTTTGCGCTCCGGTGGGAAAGTCGTTGATTTATTTATTTATTGCATAGGGAAGTTCCCATGGTAAAACAGCAAACAAAAAAACGGTCGAACAGACTGAACACAATAAACGATCTTGAAACTAAACACAACATGCAGAAAGGTATAATTGTTAGTACGAAGACTGAAGGTAGCTTCCTAGAATTTTTTTGAACAGTGATAGCTTCGCTACGAACATCTTTCTTCTCAAAATTATACCCGCATGATGGGCCATTCGGCATGTAAAGACATATTTCCTTACATTTTGCCTTGCCCTTGGTAGTATAAGCTTCCTAGTCCCTCCTTGATTATTGGAGCATCTAGTAGGAAGAATATTTTTTGCGTCTAACTTACATTCTTCAAATAGTACAGAGTGTTCCAAAAAAATGTGAACACAGTTTGATCGTTAATAACTCTGTTGCTTTTATGTCTTTCGCCGAGCTTCAGGCACCATTTCGTAGACCGAGGTTCAATTTAGGTTTACAGTATGAGGCAAAACTCCGATTTCCCTTCGCTACTGTTGGATTACGGTAGGAACTTCCAGCGCGTGAATCCGTTGTGAAATATGCCATTTGACAAAATTTTTCCAAAAAATCTGAAAAATCGTGTACTAGGGTTTTCGCGCACGCTGAATCCATTACACCACTTTTTACGAGGGTTTTTAGCTTTTTTGACGGGGTAATCACATTTTTGACAAATGCTGGAAATTCTGTTGTTACGATTTACCTGGGATAACTTCGGAAAGAAGCGTCATAGTACAGTGAAAATTTCATATTCGAAATCAGCGGCTTCCATTACCATAGTATAAGAGCTTTTGGCTTGTTTGGTTTTGTTCCGAGGAAGAATATGGCCTCTAATGATCTGAAATCCTTGTCAAAGTTCTTACCGTAATCCTACAGTAATGAAAAGCGATCGATGATTCGCTACACACTACGAATCTAAGTTGAACCTCGCTCTACAGAATGTTGTTTCAAGCTCGGAGAAAGGCATGAAAGCAAGGGAGTTATTAACGATCAAATAGTGTTCACATTTGTTTGGGACCTGTATTTTATGCACCATGACCAAATCGAGTTTTCTCCTTCCATAAGCAAGAGTAGGAAATGCCTAGATTTGCATTGCGAACCCTACCACTTAGTATCTCATCGTATCTGAATCCTACCGTTCTTATCAACAGTTTTATAGTAAAACTATTTTGAACCTTTTCTAAATTATCAATTGCTTTTCGCGTGTGTGGATTATAGATCAACGTACCGTATTCCAATATAGGTCTTATGTAAGTCTTGTATACCCTCAGTAAGACTTCAGGGTCGTTACATGATAGTCCTCTGTAAAGGTTATAAGTAGCCATTGTTGCCTTATCTTGTCTTACAATGTTTGTCAAAGAAAGATTGCTTGTGACCAGAAATCCCAAGTCTTTTGTTGACTCAACAACTACAAGCGTTCTTCCTCCCCTAAGTAGCTATGTCTAGGATTGCTTGAGCCCATGTGAAGTATTTTGGTCTTTTCAAGTGAAATAGGCAGACCCCAATCCTCTGACGATTCAGAAACTCATCCAAGGTGTCTTGTAATTGCTTACGGCTAGCTTCATCCGTGACTGTTCGGTACAATTTGAAATCGTCAGCAAATGCGCAGCAAGAAATATATTTGGACAGTGGTATAAGCGGGAGCTCGTTTGTATATATGTTAAAAAGTATAGGCGAAAGTAAGCCTCCATGAGGGACCCCACATCCCATCTTTCTAAGAGAAGAGAACGTCTGATTGCCATGAACTACAAACGATCGCTCTCTTAGAAATGCTTCATTCCAGGATATTATTCTCGGATGTATTCCTAGAGCTCTGAGCTTGATCGTCAGTTTGGTGTGCGGCACCTTATCGAACGCCTTACTGAAATCTAGATAGGTTACGTCAATGTCTTGCCCCCTATCTAGTTGCAATGTCCAATCATTAAGCGTTTGTAACATTGCTGTAACCGTCGATTTACCACGCTGAAATCCATGCTGTGCATTAGAAATCACATTGTTCTCTTTTGAATGTTTAACAATATGTTTTTTCAACATTTTTTTCAACAGGCCGAATGTTTTCTGGACTAGTTAGCGGCTTTTTCTTGGGAATCGGTGTAACAAAAGAGACCCTTCATCGCTCAGAAATTTCAGCTCGCATCATACTCAAATTGAAAATATGTTGCAATGGCCCAGAAAGTATGTCTGCAACTGATATAATAAACTGCAATTGCAAAAGGTCATGAGTAAGAGATGTTGATTTAGGCCATCTAGTCAGGAGGAGATAATTGTTTTCACTTCTAAACCAAACCCCGTCACTCATTGTTGGGAAGACTGGAGGCAATTCCCTCTCAGGCTCATCAAAGCTTTTTTCTTCAGCAAAAGTCTTTGCAAAAGTATCCGCAAAAAATTCAGCTTTTCCCTTATCATCACTCATAACCACACCATTGTCTCTACGTAAAACTCCCAGCTTGCTCCTGTTTCTAAGCCGTGAATTGTTCACTTTATAGAACGCTGATCTTTCTCCAGACTTGATTATCTTTTTCTCAAAAGATGCATTGTATTTCCTGAGCAGTTTAGTAAATTTGGCATTTGATCTATTGAAACTGAAACTATCTTCAACGCTGTCAGTATCAGCTGCAATTAACCAAGCTCGCTCCCTCATTTGATAGAGTCTAACGAGATAATCAGGCATATTTGTTTGCCACATAGGGCGCAAGGACCAGGGCACGCAGAGATCGATCGCATGGTCCGCCGGAGGTATTCCTTCGACTGTCTGAGATTGTGTGT